AGTTATGACACATTGCATTGGCAATAAATTATATTAGATTAATATTAGAAAATATAAAATAAGTTTGCCTGAAGTCGATTACGCCGATCTGAGTGATACCATCCCATTGCAGAAAATAATCTTTCTACTGATGCTGTGGTTATATAGATTGAAAAAATGCGAACTGCTACAAGGTGCAATTCTACAGCAACTCCTTTACAAAAATTCCAATATTGTAGAAATCACCACCAAATTGGTCAAAAGTTTCTTTATTAAATGGATATTCTTCATTTTCATAATATTGCAATTCACGCAAAATAGAACATGGAGGTTTACTAAACCAAGATTTATAATAGTATACAATCCATTGTCCCATATGTGCAAAAAAAAAACCATTAAGGTTTTGGTTAAATTGCATATTATGATAACTTGGATGCAATAAAAAAGATAAAGTAGCAACAGCTGTTCCCAGATTGACCATCATTTTTCTAATTTTATTAGTAAATAATCTTTAAGATCCTGATCAGAAATACCTTTAATAACTTGGCAAACTCATCCGAAGCTATGTAAAACTTCAGAGAGACAGCCTTTGTCTCGTTGAAGTTTATTTAATGATGCCATATATGGTTCGAGAAGAACCTTTAATTGTATAAACTTTTTTCACTACTCATTGTCTGAAATATTAGAAAGGATACTTCTAGGAAAACCGTTAAAATTATTATCATCTTCATCTTCTATTTTTGTAGCTAATTTTTAAGTGCAGCACGAGACTTAATAATGCTAGCAAAACATAAATAGTGCCTATTCCATCGAGTACAATTTGGAGATACAAAAGAAACATATGATTTATATATAGACACTTGCTCTAAACGAAGACGCCCTAAAAAAAATGCTGACCGATGAAAAAAGGATACAAAACGAATGGCTTGTTCAGCAACAGTTGACAATGCATTTGAATTTTTAAAAATATCACCGACACACAAGTTCATTTGATGTGCAAAACATGGAATAAATATAATTTCTGAATGTACAC